CCTTAGAATGAGAAGCAGTATTGCAGAGCATGTACCAATAAGTATCTGCAAACATTATAAGATGATTTTAATCAATATAGATGAAATTTAATGAAGTCATTATGAATGATTTATTAGTACACAATCTTTGACCAATAGTTGGCATCAAAAGCTATTAGCATTATTTTATTTTATTACTTGGTGGTCTTTTTTTGTGTAAAAGAACATTTTTAACCATTTCCCCTCCATGTTTGGTGCTGTTTTGATTGAGAAATTAATATTGTAGTATTTAAATATTCATTTAATCATCATTAAAGCGCTCTGTCTAATTTATTGTCTATCACTAAACTGTTATGTTCACTCAGTCAGTTGAAAGTTTTGTGAGTTGACACATAGACACGGCCTCAAAATATATCACCTTATCAGGCAGGGAGGGAGTCGGTCGGCAACGCTTTTGGATACAGTTCAAGTATGTTCAATGCTAAATATAAAAAGGGCGCAAAGATCCAGCCCAGATCCTTCCATCCTGTGTATAGGCAATATGCCGCCTTTGCCATTATGCATGTTCCATGCTATTTGTCACTTGTTTAACTATGTAATTAAAGTCAAATGGCAAACAATTGATGTAAACTAGCCAACAATATTACAAAAGATATGGTTAAAAGCAGTCCCTCTTTAGATTTTCACTTAAAAGCAAGCCATATCTAATGAGTACCGATCACACAGAGCAGTTCTTGTTATGATTCTCCTTAAAAAAAGCAATTCCTCTAAAAGTGGCACAGATTATTATTATTATTTTTTTGCTATTTTCAGACCTAGCGCAGCTATTATTTGATTTGTGCCACTTTGTGCACTCAAGGGCATGCTGGTCTAAAACGTTGGCGGCTTGCTATTTTGAGGCAACTGAAATAGACCACGCTATTAATCTACTTAATGCTGGTCTAAAGTCAGTTGTGCAAAGTTTTTATTATTTATAGAGCATGTTAGTTATGCACCTATGCAGGTCCAAAACCTGCAAACACATTGCTTAATGCACATAGGATGTACAGCAAATTTCATTACATATGAATTAAATTAAAGGATTATAATAGTTAAAAATATATATTTTTTTACATATTTATAAAAACCACTACCAGTTTTGGAGACGTCGGTGTCACACCCAAAGAGAAGGATCCAAACGCAAATGTCCAAATCGGCAGGTCATCAGGTGGCAGGCATCGATCCGGAGGCAGATGAGACAACGGAGGACAGACCAGCTTAATGTCAGACAGGTGAAGTTGAAGGTAGGTGGCTGGCCGAGATGAATCCAAGAGAAAACAAAGAAAAATCACAGGCAACTGAGCCAAAACTGGGCAGGGAGAAAAACAGAATCAAAATCATGAAGCAATGAATGACAACAACAGGAATCAAAACAAGATAACGCAGCGAAGATAGCCTGAAAAACAACAGAACACATTAGCAACTAGAAAGTGGAAAAAGGAAAATTTGAATAGCAAGGAAATTAGAGTAGACAGGTAACAGGTGTGGCAAGGCATGTGCGTGCTGATCAGTAATAGCGATCAGCTGAGTGAATGCAAGGATGACAAGGAGAGAGAGAGAGAGAGAAAGAGAGATCAACCCAGTGTCCTGACAACCCCTCCCTTCCCCCAGGCACACCATATTCTGCTCATGTGAGCTGTTTACTCCAAGATGAGGGTTTGACAACAGAGCGTTCAGCCGAGATCATGATTAGCATGCTCGATCTGCCCATTGGTCTGTGGATGAAAGCCTAATTACAGACTGGCAGGGGACCCAATCTGCCGGCAGAACTTCCTCCAGAAATAGGAAACAAACTTGGGCCACCTGTCAAAGACCACATCCTCCGGAAGACCATGAATCCGAAAGACATGGTCCGACCTCCCAAGCTGTCTCTTTAGCAGAAGGAAGTTTTGGAAGGGGAATGAAGTGGACTGCCTTGGAAAAGTGGTCCACCACTTTGAGAACCACTATATTGCCATTAGATGGATGGAGGCCTACCACAAAGTCCATGGCAATGTGTGACCAGGGGCGGGAAGGAATGGGGAGAGGTTGTAAATAGACCAATAGATGGAGAATTGGAGGACATGTTTTGAGCACAGACTGAGCATGCCCTCACAAACCGATGAACATCCTTAGCTATGGCAGGCCACCAAAACCGTGGACGGATGGCAGCCAGTGACCTCCTGATCCCCAGGTGTCAGGTGACTTCAGAATAGTGGGCCCCACCCGAGAACGGCAGTGCAAACTGCCTCAGGAACAAAGAGCAGACCCGACAGGCACCCATGGACACCTTGACCCCAGACTGGGCTCGTTTGACACACTCCTCAATTTCTCAGTAGACCGCCCCCACCACACATCTGGAAAGTATGGTGGTATTGGGAATGGAAGGACCTACTGGAAAACCAAAACAGATTGTACTGTATGTATGGCAGATTCCTATGATCAATCCAAACAATAAAGGGTACTGCCCGCCCATCCAGCTAGAAGTGTCACTCCCCCAAAGCCAACTAGACTGGCAATAGCTCCCAATTGCCGACATCATAGTTTCTTTCTGCGGGAGAAAAACAATGTGAAAAATATGCACAAGGATGTAAAATGTCTCTGAGCACATCAATGATGAGTGCTTGAAAGACTGCTGGAGCACTGGTGAGCCCAAATGGCAGAGCAAGATGTTCAAAGTGTCCAGTAGGTACATTGATTGCGATATTCCATTTATCATCCTCCCTCATATGGATGAGATGGTAAGCATTTTGTAGGTCCAACTTTGTGAAGAATCTCACACCCTGCATCAGATGCCGTATGTTTAAGGGATGCCAGCAGCCAATCAAAAGAACGGTCAAAAACCTTAATCATCTGTTCCTTGAAAACTGAAAAATCTGAGCAGCACAAGGCTTGGGATTCCCATACTGCCACACCCTAGTCACGTGCCCACCATAACTCCTCTTCATGGCAGATCAACATAGCTCCTTGAAGCTCCACTGCTGAGCGTATTGTGACATCTGCTGGATCTATAATGGCTAGTGTATAATGTCACACCCAGAGAGAAGGATCCAAACTCTGTCAAAACAAAGGTTTTTATTTATGATTAAAAAAACAATGAGCCGAGGCTTGTGTCTCAAAAGTGATGATGATGTGATCGCTTGGCGAGAGCGAAAGCAACCAGTGTCCAAAATGGCAGTCATTAGAGAAGTCATGCAGGCGGGCATTGATCGGGAGGCAAATGGAACAATAGAGGACAGACCAGTTCAGGGTCAGACAGGCAAAGTCTAAGGTAGGTGGCTGGCTGGGATGAATCCAAGAGAAAACAAACAAACAAACAAAAAATCACAGACAATCAAACAAAAACTGGGCAGAAAGAAAAACAGAATCAGAAACATGAAGCAATGAATGACAACAACAGGAATCAAGACAAAATAATGCAGTGAATAGCAAGATATCCTGAAAACCAACAGGACACACTAGCAACTACAAAGTGGAAAAAGGAGAGCTTAAATAGCAAGGAAATTAGAAGAGACAGGTAACAGGTGCGGCGAGGCATGTGCGCGCTGATCAGTAAGAAGAATTAGCAAGAATGACTAGAAGAGACAGAAAAAGAGAAATGTCCTGACAATCTGCATCATCGAATGAGGCATATCAATAGAAAGTACATTTGAATATGACCACACCTTGTTATTAGTGTTCATTTATTCGTTGTTGGAAATTAGAACTGAATTTAAAAATAGATTTAATACAAATCTTTGCCCTTAACAAACAAAATTAAGAAATTAAATATGTCTTCAGCAGAGTCCACCCAACAAAGTTTCTTTTATAAATAAAGAGGTCGAATAGCTCGTTCTTTAGACTAGACTTTTTTTTATCCTTGCACAGATAATCTGTTTAACTGTTTTTTAGTTTTTCCACTTACAAAGTCCACCTTGGTGTGACACAACTGACTTTTAAAGGGAATGGGAGATGAGATACTGATTGGTTTAATGCAGGTTATGCTCAAAACACACTCATAACTCATTAAGAGAATAAGCACAATCCTTATAGACCATGCACCGTCACACATTTTTCCATGCACAAAAAAAACACAACCAATTTTTTTTTTGTTATATAGTCATGCATATTCTTATATACACAAAAAATACGCACAGTATGCACAAACTTTTTTTTTTTTTTGGTTATGACTAATTGCAATTAATGATTTGACCGCACTAACTATTAATATACTTTTCAAATCAGGTTGTAACTATTTTGTAAAATGAAAGAAGATTTAGATTCTTAAAAGGATTCGAGTAACCGTAATATTTAATATGTTCTTAGGTTTAAATGTTTATACATGAAATAAAAAATCTTCCAGTGATAAAGACTAATGTTTGTGCAGAATGTTCTTAAAAAAACAACAGTCATTGATCAGTCAGTCTCAGGCTTTTGACTTTTAACTGTGTGAATCTGCTGACTTGGAATGATGACAGCACAATAATCAAAACTGCAGCACTATCCCAGCAAACATTGATCCGACTGCAACATCCTCTCCCCCGCACAAATTGTGTGCAGTTGGTCTAAAAGACTACGTCCTCTCAACAGCCAAAATTAGTCACGGCTGGACAACACAAATGCACAACATGGCCTAAACTGCATTAATAGACGCCTGCATACATTTGTACATGTCTATATTTTATTGGGGTTGCGTGTATTTACAATTTTACCAAATTACCTTTACCTCTTTAATCAGAGGTATTTTTACATAGCATAACCTCAATTTTTTTAAGTTGAGTACTTAAAAAATTAAGTTGTTCCAACTAGCTTTTTTTATTAACATTTAAACAAAAACCAGTGTTATGTACTTAATTACCATAATTATACATGCTAGTTTTCAAGTTTAGAATCTCAAAAAAATTAAGAAGCTGAAATTAAATTTTTTGTTTGTTTTCATATTATTGTTAATTTAGGTGCTTGTAAGAAATACATTTTTAAACAACAGCAATTTTAATTTCAGTAGCTTTTTATTTATTTAGAAACACAGTTTTCAGTGTTTTATTTTAAATATTGCACTTCTCAATGTTTACAAAACCCAAATGTGTACTGTCTCACAAATTATAAACAAACTGACCCGTCAGCTTTGCCTTCAAAAATGTGCATGCATGCATAGCTATGCCATCACAATGAATTCCATCAAAACAAGAGTTATAGGCATTGATACACTGAAAGCTAACTATTAACTTATAAATTGAATATTTTACAAACTACTTGTTATTAGTTAACCTTAATTGTAAAATATGTAACATTTGTATTATTATAAACAAACATATATAAATGCCACCATTCATATAAACAGTATGAAATAAAAAGATCAGCATGTGGACTTCAAAATACAAAACAATATAGTTGCAACATAAAGAGCAAAATGTACTTTGAAATAAGTAGAGGCTTCAGAAAATGCTGTTCTTGAGACGCATTACTTTTGCACTGGGATTCAGTCCATCAAGTTCAAGAAACAGCTTCTGAAACACTTAACAAGTATATTTAAGCTCCTTGGGGTAGCTCAGATTCAGAGCATATATTATGCCCGTTAGCAGAGCACAACACCTTGAGATATCCATTCCAATCAGGATTCTGATTCCCTCAACAATGATGGTTCCCGTCTTGTGGTTTAATTCCATAGTTGACAGATCACCAATGATGGCAATTTTCATCACTTGCTTTTCAAGGTCTGCCTCAATTTCTTGTGTATTCTTGTAAAGCAAGAAAAAAAATTAGATTAGCATGATAGAGATATTTAAATTTATAATTACTTCAGTTTTTTATTTTACTTACATATGATTTCAGTTAATCTCTGGAGACTTTGTTTTATTTTACCCCTTACATGCATGCACCCAGCTACTCACTCATAAGAATAATTCGTTTCACAATGTAATTTAAATGGAAAAGTGAAACGCAACTGTCACACCCATTTTACAAATCTTTCTCATTGTCAACATCTGTTTATTGAACTAAATAGTACATTGTTATTTTAACACAGAGCTAGGTAAACCCAGTGTGTGTGGACAATGTAATATACCTACACATTTAACTAAAAGAGAGCAGTCATTGAGCACATATTTTTTCTTGTATGTTTCCACTGTCAAGGGAATATTTAATTTTAATTTTAAAACATTGTAATACTCACAGCAAACTCCTTGAAAAGATCCTCTTCTTTCTCTCCAAGACAGACAACAAGACAGTGAATGGCTACTTCTCTCCATACTTCAACTTCATTGTTCTGTTTAATTAGAAAAAATATATATCAAGATAAAGTACCTACAGTAAATGAATAAAGTTTTATCTGAACAAACAACTGATGGCAACCTGACAATTTAACACAAATCTAAACTATTCTAGTGTGTACAAATTATTTACAATACCTCAAGAAGCATATCCTTAATCCTTCTGATTCTTTCCCCTTTAGCTCCTCCCCTTGATGAGGCCAGGTCCATTAGTTTTGGGGTGCATTTGTCAAGTTTGGCCATAAATGTAGATTCAAGACCTACAGTGGTTATCCTCTTGAATTCTTCATTTATCTGTAGAAAAAATAGAATAATTAAATAATGGAATAATTGCATACAATGTGTAACACAACAAATAACATGAAATATGTTATTGTTGTAAGAAGTTTTTAGCATAAATAACTTCAAGATGATTTTCTCGCAAAATTGTGAAACTAGACTAAAAATAAAACTAAACTTACCTGTGTTGCATCTGATAATGCAGGCCAGCGCTCCAAGATATCCCTTATTTCTTGCCCATTTTATCTGCAACAACTTGAAAATTGTTTATTTTTGTTACTTCATGCAAAAGGTTTACATTAGACAGATTTGTGGACTGTAAGATGGGCTTTACAACCCAAGCAGGACTGTAAAATACCTTTGATGATGGGTCCAGATGCTGATCGAGATACAAAATTTAACTCTTTAACAACCTCTTCTATACACCTGTAAGATACATTAAAAGTGCTCTCCAGTTTTAGAAACAACAAAGCTATTTTTTTTCTATGCAGTTTGGCAGGTCTGTCGCATCATTATTGTCATCTTGACCTTCATCAGACAGATCCCCACTTTGACCTTCCACATCACTGTGTTGATCTGCATTGAATGAACATACATACCTTTTTATTATGTCTGCCTTGAAGTCATGCAATGAGTGAGGAGTATGTTTTCGGCTTCTGTGCGAAGCAAATGTACCATAAATGTTAGTTCTGAAATTGCAGTTCTGAAAAACACAGATGACAGTTTCGTGTTTTTTTTTTTTTTTCTATGGAAATTGTCATGGCATTGCAACAAGGACAAGTAAAATAAAAACTTTCTGCAAATCTGGAGGTTTTCTAAGTTTGATGTCTTGATAAATGTGATCTAAGGCTGCCCCATGTTCTGAAAAAACACAAACAATCTTGACAGAGGCATGGAAATGGTTGCCCACAATTACCATGGTGTAGTCTGTAATGTTTTAACAAAACTATTTGTGTTGATGTTTCAAATTTACACATTTTGCACCCCCAACCTATTTTATATACAAGCCTACTTATATCTAAAATACAGATCAGCCTAGAAAGTTGTAATACAGTTGCATGAACTTTGTATGAAAATCTTAGCAATCAGTAGATAAATGTAATATTTTCCATAAGAACAGGAGGAATAAAATACTAATTTCAGGTTGGATAACAACTGTGAGCAAGCTCCAGAATATATATTTCTGCTAGGGTAACTAACATAAAACATGCAGGATAAAGCAATACTATTTATGAAAAAAGCATCTACTATATAAACTTTATGTTATTTTGACATATATACTAAATTGCCTTTCTGGCTTACCGTATGTGTTTTTACTTTCTTATCTACTATTTTCTAGTCAAAAAACACTGCCAACATCAACTATAATTTACCAGGAGTAGCCAACACTAATGGAATGTAGAATATTGATTTGGAAATGAAGTAAAACCCAGATTTCTCATCTTAAAGTATCCTTTGTGCCAAATGGTCTGCTTAAAACTTGTCCGGACATGCCTGTTGATCGTTCAGTGAGGGAGGAGCTTTGAAATCCAGAACTCCATTGGTGTGAAAAAAATGAGTTATCAACGCAATTTTTTGGGGTTGTTATAAGTTAAATATTGTTTTAAACTAATTGACAGATATATTTATCTTTAAATTACCCTCTTTTTTAAGTTGATGTAATTATCAATATTTTCCTGTTGTGTAAACTTAATAAAATTACTCTGGCAATTTAAAAGTTTTAATATAATCAGCAATGTAGAATTTTTAAGTTACAACAATGTATTAAACTCTGTGGTGGTAACAGATCGCTTGAGTTATTTTTTAGAGTGTAGATATGTTTTTTTAGTATTTACCAGTATTAATGATTCTGTTTAAAGTTAGTCTGCTAAAAGGCTTTTATTAACACTGAAAGCAAAACTTACGAATCCGAATCTAAAAAGTTACTTACAGTTAATATAAAATGTTAAACATATTTATGTAGGTGTTATTTGCTTGTGGAGATTTAGGAGTTAAAGTCTAACCACTTTTCTTTAAACTGCTCCTTAAAAATAGTTTTTGCATTATAAATAATCGAATTGCATTAAGATTCAGATTTGTCTTGCAGTATCAATAACAATCAGTCACCTGTCAGACAGAATCCAAGACTCTTTCTTGGGGTCAACTGTCAGAACCATATAAGGTATTTCATTTATTTATTTGTTGTTCCTTAAATAACCTAATGCTTAAAAGTGTATTTCAGAAGATCATGTTTGCAAACCTAGAGCCTGTAGTGTCAAACAATGCTCAAAAACAAAATTTCACCACATGCTGGAATATTAGGCTGCTATTTATTTTCACACATTCATATTTTCATATGTTAATCTGGCCTGTGACGTGGATGAGATAAAACTTGAAAATTCTCTATTTATAGCCTTACTGTACATTAATAACTGATAAAATGTAGTTGTTTTCTAACTAACGTTAATATAGTAACTGCAATAAATGTCTCTTTCCCACTGTTGATTTTAACACAATAACTAAACTTTACTACTTATAACTTATTGTGAAGTGTTACCAGCTGTATTTTATAATCCATTTGCAATTACATTTTTAAATATTTGTATATAATATAGCAATAGACAAATTAGTTTTTATACCTGTGATGAATATTGTGATATAATTACTGCATATCCTGATAAAAGCTTTAGTAAATAATTGCAACTTGGAAAGTTAATGCCATCATAAGCCTGATGTTAGCTACTGGTCTGTATCCAGCAGGTCTGTATGTTCTGTTAAGAGGCTGGATTCTGAAAGGAGATCCTGTGAAGTGTCTATCAAAGCTGAAGAGAAGAATTGGGTCTGTGTAAGTTTGAAATGTAACAGAATGTGTGTCTCTGTCTAGTGGGATCGCTCTGACTGTGTTTTTGATGTTACATTTTGGTTAAAATGTCATGAACAGGTACAGTACATATTTATCTTGCATTGTTTGTGTTTATTTCTGCATAATATTTCAGGAAAAATATATTTTACTACCCCAACCGTTAACACTTATTATTAAAAGTATTTTAAAGGGGTGGTCCACTACGATATTATATTTTAAACTTCAGTTGATGTGTAATGTATCTGTGTGAACATAAACAGCATCTCTGAATGTAAAATATTCAAAGTTTAATGCAAAGGGAGACCTTGATTTGTACAGAGTTAGCTTAGCAACGCCTACAATTAACGAATTTTGGGGACTACAAAAAATACTTCCGCCCCCTGTGAGATCACAAAAGTTCGTTATTGCGCATCCCACACTGCGCAGGTAAAGGCCGTGGCCAGAGGCGCTGTAACGTTACTGCAGAGAGAGAAATGCCATCCTGCTGTTTCCACAGAGCTGTTCTGTTTCTGTTGTTGGGCTTCCAAATGACACGACCCAAACACAGAAGTGCTTACAGTTCAATATTAATTATGTTCCAGAGAACTATAAAATACATAGCAAGCATGATTTGACAAAACACAGCTTCCAGAATCTCTCCCAGTTCAGTGCTGGATTCAGTTAAAATCTTCTCAAAGATGGAGCAAGGAGACGCTGTGAACTCTGAGTCATGACCTGTAAGTGTTTTTATTTGTTAAAATTGATCATGACATGTACAGTGTCTAACTTTAACGGTGTGTTGTAGCAAAGATGTAAACAACGGGAAATTATGGTAACCGCTAACGACTTAGCTAACGTTACAAATCCATATTTATCAAACGGCTGTAAACGCACACACACACATACACATACACGCACTCTTGGCCAGCACCTGCGTCTATCTGTGTGAGACGGCAGAATTTCTCTCTATAGGCAGCTATGCTATGCGTTTTACAACTCGGACAATAAAGTCGCAAAAGATATGTGAACGATTCATGTTACTTACACAGGCATATTCCGCATATGCATGAAAGACGTCCTGTAACGCATTGATTTAAAAAAAATACAGCAATGATTTCCCAACTGGAGTGTAACATCAAAAACAAATCAATCCAGGCTCACAAAGGTCTCATCTCACATCTTGTGCTTTATTCTGTCACCACAGAAAATAACTTAATCCGAGCATGAGAGAAAAAGAACAATAAAAATCTCTCCCGCGCACATGCGCTTCTCGTGTTACAAATACTTCATCGTATACACGCATAAACACACTAAAAGGCACAGAAACAGTTAAAGGAGCCGCATCCCATTTTCACTCGTTACAGACACGTGTTGACTGACTGACTGACTGACTGACTGTTTACACAAAACGCGCGTGCTTGTCAGGGCGTGACGTGAAGCCGATCGGCGTATCACAGCATATTATGATGATGACCAATCAGAGTCACTTGAGGGTGGGCCTTTTAGAGGAACTAGGAAATATGACAGTCGTTTTCATGTTAGCTGAGTAGCTGTGTATAATCAAAGTGAGATTTATGAAAAAATAACACGATTTCCTTCAAGTTAAACATGAGCACACATTGCTTTGCATCTTATTAACACAACCAAGCCTTAAAAATAACATTCTGGACCACCCCTTTAAATTCTGTATTTTATCTGTTATGCATCATTGTATGTCTCCTTATACACATAGCTGTTTTAATGTTCAGATGTTTTAAAATGTTAGAACAGATTAGGCTGTCAGCCAGACTGAAAATATAACATTTAAATTTAATTTCAGTGTAAGCCTGCTTGTCACAAAACTGCGGATATGGGTAAATATGTGGATATGGACAATTGTAAAATGATGAGTGGTAGGGATTGTGTATTGACATTGATATAATTGCTACTCTGCACATTGCTGTTCATTCATACAACATGACAATAATCCTTGATCTGCTAAACGGTGATGTAAATCTGTCACTATGTTATAACTATACTAATATGCACAATAAATAATTTTGCTAAATTTTAACACTATTGCATAAACGCTCAAAAAAATTAATTATGATGTACACAAGATTGCAACGTTATAAAGACGTTCAGGTCTGACTGGACTGAAATCGGAAGTTTTAAGAACCTGATTGCCATTCACAGCTTTACATTTTAAATGTGATTATTTCATATGTATAATTAGGCTATTAAAGCACTTAAATTACACATCACATCGTATCACACAGTATCACATCGTATAAACAACCAGAATACAGCATATTTATGGGTTCAGATGATGTGCAGAAATTACGTTTTATTATTTATGTGTAGACGTCATTTCAATTCCCGCTTTGAATTTATTTATCAATGACACAACGGTCATCACGTTCAAATGTTTGCTGGGATAGAAGGACAGAACATGATATGAACATTCCAGTGCAGGGGCGTTGCTAGGGTTGAAAGGGATAAGGGGCTTAGCCCCAAAGAAGACCATATGAGATGATTCATGGAGGACCATTCATGAGGTGATCTACTCCAATCTTAATAAAAGGATTATAAATGGTTTAATAATAAATAAAAGGTTTTTGAGTTGGCAGTCTTTTAACAATTCATTGTGAAGCTTTGTGACTTCTAACACCAAAAATGAAAAAAAAAAAAAAAAAAAACATTGATAAATTAACCCATTTACTAGTCTGTTATGAGCCATTTCATACCTCTTGAGCCTCCTATCTCCTCTCATGATTTGCAGTTTCTGTTTGTTTTTTGAAAATGTAATTTTCTGCATGTCCTCAAATCTGAAAATATGATTTATTTCATAGTGTGAGTTGTTATCCAATGTGTTACAAAGCTACAAACATGTTCATTTGGACAGAGTGATTAACTAAGGTGTAGTTTGTCAAGATTCTGGAATTTCTAAATTCAATACCAAAAAAATATTGATATTCAATAACAATGAATTCAAACATATAATATTTAACATAGGGTTGATGTCGGCATTGTAGCTCGTTAAATGCATGTAATGCCTGTTTCATTTACACTTGAGCAGAAATTCCATATATGCCTTACAAAAGTAGAACATTGCAGGAAATCCCTATGGATGTAGGCGTCCAGCTATTGCTGTAGTTAAATGAAAATAAGATATGAATAAACATAAAAAGGCTTTAACTGATCATTTACACGACTGTGAAAATAAATGTCTATACAGTTGAAGTCAGAATTATTCGCCCCCTTTGTATTTTATTTTATTTTTTAAATATTTTCCAAATGATGTTTAACAGAGCAAGGACATTTTCACAGTATGTCTGATCATTTTTTTCTTCTGAAGAAATTTGTTTTATTTCAGCTGGAATAAAAGCAATTTTACATTTTTAAAAACCATTTTAAGGTCCATATTAGGTTATATATTTTTTTAAAACACCATTTTAAGGACAAAAGTATTAGGCCCCTTTAAGACATATATTTTTCTGATAGTCTACTGAACAAACCATCGTTATACAATAACTTGCCTAATTACCCTACCCTGCCTTTAAATGTCACTTTAAGCTGTATAGAAGTGTCTTAAAATAGGCTAGTTAAATATTAGTTATTACAACTATAATGTTTAGAAATGTGTTGAAAAAAAATCTTTCCGTTAAATAGAATTTGGGAAAAAAAATAAACGGGGGCTAATAATTGAGGGGGGCTAATAATTCTGACTTCAACTGTATGTGTTCTTCCAGCCATCTTGGGTATTTTCATAAGAAAGTCGATTTATAATCCGCAGCTAACGGACAAAGCATGTTACAATAGAATAGCTATAAAATAATAAGCTAGATGCATGAACTCACTGTGATTTAACTATTACAGAAACAGATGTGACTGGCTATTTCATATCTAGATAAAGATGTGTAGATATCCATATCATATCTAGAAAGCTAATACAATTTATGTTTTTCTGACTAATTCGCATGTATTTACATTAATATGATGCATATTTGATTGATTTCAGTTATTTTATTTCACCAAAACTACACACATTTTATACTGTGAAAATAAATAAGCTTCATCAGTAGATAGAACTATTCCGTTTCGCGAAACAGTTGTATTATTAGCAGCTTCAGCTTCTCAAAATAATGAATGAATGAAAGGCAGTGGCGGAATTTTTTTAAGCCATTTGACAACAGAGCCACTCCCACCTGCCGGTAGAAACAGGTACTGCTGAACAGCTGACACAAACCCGAACTAATTACCCGACACAAACGCTGCGTTAAGTGAGAGGGTGCTCGCTGCAGAGCCATTTGAGCAGAGCTGAGCTCCAGCGAGGGGGAGCATGAGCTCTCGTTCTGCCTCCTGTAAGCTGTAGGTGCATTCGACTTCATGCAGCGCTGCGCAGATCGATCGAAATCTGTCTTAAAGCGGTGCATGCTGGTTAGAAATCTTGTCCGGATTGATGCTGCGCCGACGCCACGTGACTGTCACATGTGGCATCAAAGTACCGCGACAGCGCTCCGAGATCAGACGGCAGACTCAGACCATGCAGCTTCTGAAGAGCAACTGCAGGAGCTCTGATGACGACACCGATATTACACGATTGGCCAAGTACACCACATGACAACAAACACGTGTATTTCGGGTTTATAATTGGACAAATTCCGATTCAAAAGTTTCAAAACAAACAATTCACTTTTCACACCCTCTCTATCTTGCACACATCTTGCTTATTAAAAGACTACAAATATTTTACTGCAGTAATCATCTTTTGTTAAATAATCTGGTTATGAAGGTTAGCTTGTTTGCACAGGTTTATTTTTAATTTGTTTATACAGACTATTTACTGCATTCAGCTCCATGAACGAGTTAAATGATATATTTTAGTGTATATTTTAGTGAATAACCTAAATATGAACTCAAATAGGTCTTACAGACTTGAAATAAAATAATCATCATCATTGATCCTGTCACCCTAAAGCTCTTTTAACAAATTAAGTTAAAGAACTATTTTATTAAATAATTATAAAATAGTTTTATTATTATAATATAAATATATATTTTATTTCCTGTCTAGCAGTTTAAAGGCTACCTGCTCTTTCTGGGAAACTTCTACATAGCTCACTTATTTTCCCTTTTGTTCTTTCCAACACAATCTTTTTGGATTAAAATGCTTGTTTGAAAATTCATTTATTATCCAAAATAATCTCATTTATTAAGACCTAATCAAAACACCTTGTTTTGCTTTTTACATTGGAAATTTTTATATCTATAAATGTACATGTAAACCCTTTTTTAGCATATTCAAACAAGAAGTATTAGCCTAAATATTGATGTTTAACTCCTAGAATTTATGCTTTTTGCTTTGTATTTAATAGACCTGTTCGTTTTTATGTTTATATTAACTTCTCATTTCCTCTTATTTCTCAAATGCATTTGTTATATATTTTATTCATAATTCTCTCTTATTGTTTATAAAGGAACTACAGTTTGTAGAGACTGTATTCTGTTTTATTTGTAAATGTTTTGTTGTTATAAATAAAAATAACAAAAAAAAATATGATGACGCCATGTGATCGGTCATCATGACTGCAGCAACTTTGAGTCCCGAAGTGTCCAGCTGACCGTCTTAACGGCTCCGTTTTTAACTCCGCCCCCGCCTGCGCTCTGCTAATCTCGTTGATCACCAGCTGCAGCTGAACTTCATGTCGAATGCACCTTGTTTTAATCAAGTGTGCCGCAAGCCTACGTTTGAGTGAAGGTTTCGGCCGTTAGATCGCCCCCTGGGGGCTGGCTGCAGTACAAGTCATAAAGCCCGCCTCCTCCGTGTTAATGAAGGAGACTTGAGCCCAAATAAAAAAAAATATTACACTTGCAATAAAATGTCCCGAAAGATAGTTCTGGTCGATTAAGGCACTGGTTATTGTGCTGAAATAGGTGCAGATCTTCATTTTTGTAAACAGTTTGTTTTTAGCAGTAATTTAATGCTGGGCGTGTCATCGTGATTGACAGCTGTGATTGACAGTTTCTCAAAGCGCGGCGTCTGAGCTTCGGCAGGAGACTGAAGTAGACTGAAATGTTATTATTCGATTTCTGTGTTATTTTACCATGACAAAATGAGTTCAGCAGTAAACTATAGTTTCTGACATACATGATCCTGGTGGAACACTGTTTATTCGCTAAGTTCAGGGCTTTTTTCGGGCTTTATTAGTTTGCTGTTACACGCCTAGCCACCCAGATAGCAAAACACAGTTCCGGCTAGATTCTCGCCTGCCGGAGACTTATCTCTTAGAGCTCAGACTGACTAATGTTACCTCTGCTGGACCTACTCCGGATGCCTGGACTCACTACCCAATTCCAGCCGAGTCAATCGAGCCAGATGCGGCGGCCGAGCGAGCAGGCGCTGCCGCATGCGAGCCGGAATCAGCCCGCGACGCCGCGAGTAAGTTATGCGCTGCGGCCTGGAGCTGGCGCGATTGAATATATAAAACCCTCATATTTGTTAACGTTATTACATCCATTTGTGTTGATATGACAGCAAACGCATGCTGAGAAGTTCGGGGGGCGTAGTTGATTTTACATAAAGCGTTTGATTGGAAGCTCGACTCTGCTCATTTTCGCGGCTCCTCCTCTGGCTCCATCAGACAATCCTTCTGCGCATGTCTGGCTCCAATTTCAGCAGTCTTTTGCGACAGTTTGTGCCCGTCAAGCAGGCGTTTTGCCCTCAAGGCGTTCAATGGGAAAAAGGGCTGTCGCGTCGTCCATATTTTTTACAGTCATTGGTCCCGAAGTGTCCAGCTGTCCGTCTTGACGGCTCAGTTTTTAACTCCGCCCCCGCCTGCGCTCTGCTAATCTCGCTGATCACCAGCTGCAGCTGAAAGAAGTGCAAAAAAGGTGGAGCTCAAGCTCCCCCTCGCTGGAGCTCAGCTGGCCCAAATGGCTCTGCAGCGAGCACCACTTGGGTTAAGTGGAATGCGCGTGATGTATGTGTTAATTTTCAGTACTAAGATAACCAAATAAATGTTATACAACATATTTTTATTTAAGTGCTACATCTTCTGACAATACATTCTTTTGACAATACATCAGGGGCATCAGCCCCCAACCCCCAGCCCGCAACGCCACTGTTTCACTGTGTACAATTGAGTGCGATCCAAAATTAGAAAAGCTTAGACAAGCAGTTTTGATGGTTTCAAATGACCTATTTATATGAACAAACAATTTGATAATAATGTAATATTTAAAGAAATGAGCATGATAAAGTGAAACAGCTAGCTTTAGAGGTATTCACATCACATAAACATTGCTATAGCCTACCTGGTTGTCATGTTTAAGGACTTCAAACGGGATGTGCAATCATACAAAAAAAAATCTTGTTTTCTTCTCAGCCTCTCGTAGGTCGAGTAAAGCAAAACCGTGTCAGGGGCAGCTGCCACCTGACACTACCCGTCACTGCAGCAGAACCACATACACAAGGTGCGTTCGACATGAAGCTCAGCTGCAGCCGATGATCAACGAGATTAGCCGAGCGCAGGCGGGGGCGGAGTTGAAAACGGAGCCGTCAAGACGGACAGCTGGACACTTCGGGACTCAAAGTTGCTGCAGTCATGATGACCGATCACATGGCGTCATCATATATATATATATTTTTTGTTATTTTTATTTATAACAACAAAACATTTACAAATAAAACAGAATACAGTCTCTACAAACTATAGTTCCTTTTTAAACAATAAGGGAGAATTATGAATAACATATATAACAAATGCATGAGAGAAATAAGAGGAAATGAGAGGTTAATATAAACATAAAAACGAACAGGTCTATTAAATACAAAGCAATAAGCATAAATTATAGGAGTTAAACATCAATCTTTAGGCTAATACTTCTTGTTTGAATATGCTAAAAAAGGGTTTACATATATGTTCATATATAGATATAAAAATTTCCAATGTAAAAAGCAAAACAAGGTGTTTTGATTAGGTCTTAATAAATGAGATTATTTTGGATAATGAAAGCATTTTCAAAAAAGCATTTTAATCCAAAAAGATTGTGTTGAAAAGAACAAAAGGTAAAATAAGTGAGCTATGTAGAAGTTTCCCAGAAAGAGCAGGTAGCCTTTAAACTGCTTGACAGGAAATAAAATATATATTATATTATAATAATAATACCATTTTATAATTATTTACTAAATTAATTAACTTAATTTGTTAAGAGAGCTTTAGGGTGGCAGGATCAATGATGATGATTATTTTATTTCAAGTCTGTAAGACCTATTTGAGTTCATATTTAGGTTATTCACTAAAATATACACTAAAATATATCATTTAAATCGTTCATGGAGATGAATGCAGTAAATAGTCTGTATAAAAAAGTTAAAAAATAAACCTGTGCAAACAAGCTAACCTTTATAACCAGATTATTTAACAAAAGATGATACTGCAGTAAAATATTTGTAGTCTTTTAATAAGCAAGATGTGTACAGGATAGAGAGGGTGTGAAAAGTGAATTGTTTGTTTTGAAACTTTTGAATCGGAATTTGTCCTATTATAAACCCGAAATACACGTGTTTGTTGTCATGTGGTGAACTTGGCCAATCGTGAAATATCGGTGTCGTCATCAGAGCTCCTGCAGCCGCTCTTCAGAAGCTGCACGGTCTGAGTCTGCCGTCTGATCTCGGAGCGCTGTCGCGGTACTTTGATGCCACTTGTGACAGTCACGTGGCATCGGCGCAGCATCAATCCGGACAAAATTTCTAACCAGCATGCACCGCTTTAAGACAGATTTCGATCGATCTGGGCAGCGCTGCATGAAGTCGAACGCACCTACACACTCCAGGCTCAGTTTTCCAGTTTTACGCCCCTGTTGTTCCTAATGCGTCCAGTAGAGGGGATGAAAGATACATGGCCAAATAATACATTTAAAGAGCCCATATTATGGGTTTTTGAAAATTCCCCTCCATGTAGTGTGTAACACAGCTCTAAGTGAAGTGAAGTATCCAGCTAAGGCTTAAAGGGTCAGGAAACACCAAAACACATTTTTTGAGCTGTTGACAGTCGTATATGTGTCCCACACTGCTAAAAACACTATTAGGACACCTATATTTCACTAAAAAGTGTAAATTGGTTGTTTATGCGTTATTTCAAGCAAATTCGTACTTCCTGTTTGAAACGAATTTTTGAAGCTGCGTCACGGTCATGACATAATAGCGTATATTCCAGCGTGTAGACTGGATGTCTGTGCCAGAGTGAGTCTTATTACGTCTTACAGTGTGCTGCATTAATGCATGAGTAAGGCTTGGTTCAAACCAATCAGCGCGCTCTATTGTGCAACTTCATTAATATTCATTAGTGTCACCGTGTTGACGCCACAGAGACGCCACGTTGTGTTGGCAAAACAAGCGTGAAGTGTTGCTTTTATAGTTTGCTGCCATTAAGTTTCGTTTTCATTTTCTCTCTGTGAGAGCTCAGAGTCACATGTGGATTAACAGTGTACGCGACGCTCGACAACAATAACTTACGTGTCTACGGAGGGTTATTGTTTACCTGAGAGCTGTTCTCATCTGCAAACACTGAAATCCGGATTCGCTTGTAACGTTAGTCTCCTCTTCATAAAGACGTGGCTCTAGTTGCTGGTGATTGTCCTGTCTCTACAGATTTGGTAAGTGAGAGACCAGTGCTCTTTGTTTATTCAGTTTGTTCGTATCGAATTAAGTTAACTATTGCACTGAGTGCAAACATAGCACCGCATTTTGTGACCGGAATAACACACGCGGCTTTCTGACGCTACCTGCCGTGTGCATCTAAGTTTCCGGGAAATGCGGAGGGTTTTTTTCTCTCATTCACCGTACGGTAACAAACATTGCATGAAAATACATGCTTAGATCAGCTCCTCGAATCAAATATCGCGTTTGTCGCGAGGGGCATGAATGAATTCCCTGTATGAAAGAGCCAAACAGCAGCTAAAGTCCACCATTTAATAATTTGGCAAATAATTCGACTACAGATGTCCATGTAGGTTAAACACCATCACTTTCTCATGTGTGTGTATTTTGACTGAAACTCGCGCGTGCCCAAATAGACACTCCCACACCATCCCACTTTAGTTCCTCCGACACTCCCCCCTAAACAGAGCTGGACACGCCCACTTTTCTGACTTTTTCCAAAGTAGAGGTGTGAAAACACCCTGCTGAAACGAGGGGGTTTCATGGCCCTTTAAATCTGTTAGTGTACAGTGTTTAAAACGGTTGATTCATCTATAAAAGAGTCGACTCATAGTGCTTCAAACGAGTCGCCTTGATACCGATTCATTAGGTGTTTCGCCATGACGTACGAACGAAACCAAGTTATTCACGTGCACGCGCAACACCGGGAGATTTCAAACCTGAGGCCCCGCCCTCTGACGCAGAAACCCAGACACACACACAAACACACACCCACAAACACACACACACACACACAAACATGCCGGTCGATTGAAGTCACACTGCAGATGGATATATTGATATATATATATATATATATATATATATATATATATATATATATATATATATATATATATATATATATTTTCTTCCTCCATTTCTCAAGTGTAAGTACGTGCGATTAAAGTTGCCTCATTTACTCTAGCTTGCAAATGTATTTAGTTGTGATTTGTTACTTGTAACCGCGTGTACTGTATCAGGTTAACTGGCTTTATTCTCTTAGTCACGTTAAAAACGCGACGCGTGCTGCGTTAACGGAGCTCCCGCCATATAGTGTGTGTGTGTCTGTGTGTGCGCGCGCTGTCGTCCGGAGGTGTGTGTGTGTGTGTGTGTGTGTGCGCGCGCGTTGTCGTCCGGAGCAGGGTTAAGTGCGTGTGTGTTTGTGCAATATGTGTGTGTGTGTCTGTGAAAAGAGCAGAGTGAGAAGCTAGGAGATCTCCTCAACTGCTTTTGGAGTTTTTGCTCAATAAAATAGTCAGTCGTCTGTATTTTCAAGTCCATAGTCTGTATTTACATTGACCCACTGGCAGCTAAACTCCACGCCTACACTATCGAGCGTGTATGAACTGTGATTACTTTTATTTTGCTGATTAGCTGTTTGGCATTTCACTCTCTGACTGAAGGCAGTCGACCAATCGTGACAGACTGTCATTGGTCCAATCAGCGCAGATTAGCTTCACGCTAAGGAGGGGTTTGGGAACAAATGAATCACTGGACGATTCATACAGGAGTCGCTGGGATAATTAGGTAAAAATAAATGCAGATTATAAGACCATGAAAGTGTTTTTTGACCTTGCATGCATATTAAACTGTTGTTGGAGACCCTTACAACCAAGATATGACCCTATTTCATGTATAATATGGGCTCTGTAAAGTCATCGCTCCCAGATTATTAAATGTTCTGTTTATAAATGTATATTTTTAATTAGATTATGGTAAATATGAACGCTAAGTTAATGTATCAGAAAGTGAGTTATAAACTCACTAGATAATATGCAGAATTGATACACTCACCAAATAATTTCAGATATGCAAAAGCCCAATTGCAAATTAATTTAGATTAATTTAATAAGTAAAATTAAAAACTTAAATAGGTGGAAAGTGTAATGGTTAATTGTAGCCTAGTTATACGTTTCCATATAGAGAGATGCATTTTGTTGTTTTGTTTATATATAAAGTTGCATTTTGAAAAAAAACAAAATTATAACCAAACAATACAGTGTAATATGGAGTAATGATGTGCTTTGATAAGAATGCAGTGGTATTGACTACCAGACAGCTGCAGAACATTTAGACAAAGAATTCACTACTTTCCAAAAATCCAAGGACCATTTAGCTACCTGACAAACAAAAACCCAGACAGCATTAGTAGATTGTCAGTTTTCTTTAAATGTAGCTGAATCCTTGCGTCAAATTCTTAATGCTCACTAAAAAATAAATAAATAAATAAATAAATACAAAAGTTATGTTTAAATACTCTGCCAAAATCCTTTTCTTACTTAAGAGTTTCTGACTTGTTTCTAGTCCAAATATTTAAAAAATTCTTAATCCTCAGAAACAGTAAGGAATGGAAATTGAAAAGAAAGAAAAAAAAAACATTTCATGCCATTTTACATATTATCTAAACCTATGCAAAACATATCAATATATATATATTTTTAATCTGATTTATGATTTAAGAATTTTAACAAGGTATAACAAAAGGACCAAGTTGTTATTATTTTAATTTTTTTGTTATTTGCAGCTACAAATTGTGATCCTGACTTTATTCCCCATATTTAACATATTTAACTATTTTCTTTGTAACAAATTGTTATAAACATTATGAAACAATAAGTGATAACCAATATGAATGCATGTACAATGCAAACTTCATTGCTAATATATAAAATGTACTGTGTAGCTATATGAACGAAAATTAGTAGACCAATTATAATTGTGAGTTTCTCTATGCATTTATAGATATATGATAGTTTAATTGTTTAAACTTGAACTAAACAAAATTAT